GCAATATAGATGTCAATTTGAAGATCATTAAAATATGATTATTTTGAGATATAACATACAAAAAAAATTGAAATAAAAAAATTATAGAGATTTAGAAATACAAAAATACATATTTATTATAACAATTATTATATGAATTAAATAAGAAAGAGTAAGAGTAGTATATGGTAACTTGAACAAAAAAAAAAGTCTAAAATAGTTTAGGGTAATTCTCAAGCCTAAAACCGAACATGTACATGCGTCAAAACAAAACATATAATAATGTTAAATAAACTTCTGAAGCATATGAGCCGGCAACTTAGGCGCATGGCGTTCGGAAATTATATATAGGGACGATTTATAAAATTATCAATAATATCTTATGACAAGTTATTATAGGGATATGCTAAAAATTGAAAATTATATTACTTTGATTTTATAATAAATCGACCTAAAATTCGACTTTCATACCCATACCAAATAAAATTCATACCACTTATTTTATTTTCAAAATTAAATACACTTCTCTCAATACCATATGAAACTCATATCATTTAAAGTTGGACATCTCTTGCCAAAATAAAATCGCACGCAATTTATTAATCATAATACTCAACTATTATCTTATTTTAAAATTTAGTGTCATATTATGTTATTAAAATAATTTTTTAAATTAACAACCCAATTTTTATTATATGCAAATATTTGATATTACAAACAAACAATATATTCTAATAGCTTACGCAACACGAATTTATATTTTCGTTTGCGTAGTATAAGAACCACAACACGACGAATTACGTTATAAACATTTTAAAACTCTAAAAGGCGTATAATTTCAATAAAAGTGACCATTAAAGAAACAATATATTATCTATTGTGAAACCCCGTGAAGGACTACAATTTTAAATATTTATTTGTTGAAACTGGTATATGTGTCCTAGAGACAATCATTTTAAGGACATATATACATGATCACATTAATAATTATATTTAATTATATTGGATTATAATTATGGTATTGCAATTAATTAAATAATTGTTTGATTGTTTGCAATTTATTAATTATCCCTTGAGTTGATACTATCATTAGCAGAGTGAGATGTTAATTAATAAAGTATAACTCTAAAATCATCTCAATCGATGATCATTAAGAAAGGGATATTAATGATAAACGATAGATTGACATGTGGTCTGCATCATATTCTTAGAGAATATAGTATGTCTCACTGCTATGAATAATTGTTATTCGTGATGGACGCATGGATACTGTGGAGAGTATTGGCATACCCTACTGATAAACCATTTGTTTATGTGTCTATGGAAGTATCGGTGTGTGGAATGGTGTAATAGTCCTTTGACTTGAGGTCAATATGCAATTCATGTATAGAGTAATTTACTTAGACCTAGTCCAACGCTTACGCCCTTATGGGTAGACACAGGCTTGTGTTGGGTATATCATGATATACATGGAATTGGTAGTTGAGCCAAGATAGGATTCATTCCTCGAATATAGTTTCGAGATAACACTCGTTTTCTCTATATTGGGTTGATAAAGTCATTGGCCAATGCACATGATTATATTTGAAATGGTGTTCAAATATAATTGATAAAATCAACCAGTGAGATGAGATTAAAATGATTAAGCTATTTGGATATACACATGTTCAAATCCTAAGCTTAATCGAGTGGTTCGTGAATGAAGGGACCGTATCATCATTGAGTTCTACACTAAAGGTTTGTTTGCTTGTCCATGTAAACGTACTTCATATTTTGAGTTCGTCCTTCGACGCAGTCTAGGAGTTTCGTAAGGATCATAAATTAGATTTTTGTCAATATATGAAGGTCTATAGGGTCACACAATATGCAATCAGTTTTCCGACTAAGAGTGAATCGAGAGTGTTAAATATTCAATTAGATTGAAATATTTATTTATTTATGAGTAATGAGATTATTTTCTATTTGATGAAAAATATTTAATTAAGTTAAATTGGATTTATACTTAACTAATAATAAGATAATTTTCTATTTGATGGAAAATATTTAATTGAGTTAAATTAGATTTATACTTGATTAAAATTATAAATTGGATTAGGTCCAATTACCTATTGGGCTGTAGGATATCCTAAGGCCAATATAATTAGGTTTACCCTAATTATAAATAGGTCATTATCTCATGGTAGTCTTTAACAATCATTGGATGAGAGAAAAGGGAGACAACGATAAAACCACAAAACACTCTCTAGCTCTCTGGATCGAAGATTCCTAGCTTCTTCACCGGAGAGGATTCATTGGCGTTGGATCGTGCATCGGGAAACTGGATTGCGTTTGGATACAATAGTCGAGGACATAGACGAACAATGGTAAGTTTTCGTTGATCATTCACGCGATCTAGGATCATATCGAATAGCTATAGTCGGATCTTCGTTGTTGGTAAGAAAAATTTTAAAATTCTACTGCGCGTACGCTAGGTTCGTACGTCGAAAAAACCAACATTTCATACCCATACCAAATAAAATTCATACCACTTATTTTATTTTCAAAATTAAATATACTTCTCTCAATACCATATGAAACTCATATCATTTAAAGTTGGACATCTCTTGCCAAAATAAAATCGCACTCAATTTATTAATCATAATACTTAACTATTATCTTATTTTAAAATTTAGTGTCATATTATGTTATTAAAATAATTTTTTAAATTAACAACCCAATTTTTATTATATGCAAATATTTGATATTACAAACAAACTAAATATATTCTAATAGCTTATGCAAGACGAATTTCTATTTACGTTTGCGTAGTATAAGAGCCAAAACACGACGAATTACGTTATAAACATTTTAAAACTCTAAAAAGCATATAATTTCAATATAAATGACCGTTAAAGAAAGAATATAATATTTATTATGAAACCCCGTGAAGGACTGCAATTTTAAATATTTATTTGTTGAAAATTAAGCACATCATTTATTTTTTAAAAAGAAAACAAATAAATATTATGATATAATGCACGATATATCATGTTTATCAGTTTTATATATTGAATGTGTCGACTAAGTTATTTTAGTTGCAGTTAAAAAAAATTAAAAATAATTGCAAAGTTTAGTAACTATAAAAATTTAAGGCGGAATTTTAGTTTCTATTTCAAATAAATCTTTATTTTTTTATATTAATAGATATGAGTTTCCATTATATTCTCTCGGCGGAGAGCTTACGATTCTCTCGGTGGAGAGCTACTGTTCACCGAGTTCCCTTTCTCTGATTCTCACTGTCTTTCTCGAAATCTCGTCCTTTCCATCGGTTCCCTCCTCTTAGTACCCCATTCTCTCAGTTCAGTTCTTTTTTCGTTCTCTGATATTGTCCGGTTTCAATTCTAGGGTTTTGAGTTATGAATTCCTCACCCTGTATTGGGCAAGACGACGACCTTGCTCAGTGATTGGAAATATTCTCCTTATCAGATAGAGAACACAATCTTATTGATATTAGGAATGATGACATTCGCATTAGCGATGAGGAATGCAGCAAATGCCTCTTTGGTAAAATAATCAGAGATAGAAAAGCTACCTGGATTGGAATCAAACGTACAATGTCTCAAATCTGGCGTCTTCAGCAGACGATGGAGGTCAAGGAGCTTGGTCACAACTATTTTCAATTCCTTTTCCAAAATAAGGAAGACAAGGAGAGAGTCTCTAAAGGGGCAAATTGGATCTTCGAGAACCAATATCTGGTTCTTGCAGAATGGCAACACGGTCTCACCAACAACCATCAAGCATTCCAAGAACTTAATCTCTGGGTCCAAGTGTTCAACATCCCTCTTAACTGGCTGAGCACGGAAGTCGGTCTCAAAATTGGTAAGTTCTTCCCATCGGTTAAAAATGTTGTGGTGGTGGGATCGGGATTGCACAAGGGGAAAATTTTACGGCTACTGGTGTCCGTCAATCTAGCAGAACCTCTCCCCCGTTGTGCCAGCCTAAGATTGGGGGATCAAATAGTTAAAGTGAGTTTCAAATACGAAAAACTTGTCAATCACTGCCATTATTGTGGCTTCATAGGCCATCTTGACAGAAGTTGCTCCAAGCGGCTCCACGATATTAAGAATGACTCAGTTAAAGAAGGCCAATATGGCGACTGGATGAGGGCCCCAGATGGCCAATATTGGTCAGGAACAGGTACATCAGAATCCCACAACCCTCCTCAATCTAACACAGAGAAGCCCTCATCCCCTCCTCAAAATACTAAGCTGCCTACAACTGGAAGTCAAGTAGAAGATAGTCAACAACAACTTCTTCCTTTCTCAGTGGAATCTCCTCAGAATGTTGGCTCAACCTCAAAATCATCTGAAGACAGGAAAATTTCTCCCAAGCACGACGGCCTTCAGCATCAAGATTCTAGCAATTTAAATAAAGAGTTGGCTGTGGTGCTCTCAGAACCATTAGCTTTTGCTAGTGATATAGGCAAAGATATGGAGATAGAAATGCCAATCCCACTAAAATCCCTGCACAAATTCTCAACCCAAAATGTAGAAAAGATCTTCATCAAAAGTGGGCAGACTTCAAAGGCAGGAGGAGGAACCACAACAGCAAATCTATTCACTTATGGGGAAAAGGATTAGAGAAGAAGATGACATAAATATCACAGACAGAGAGGGGAACATTATCAGCCAAGAAGAAAGCAAAAAGCTGAAAAGTCTAGAACCTAAGGTGGGGGTTGCCAGCCTCGAGTGGCACCCAAGTGATCAATGCTAGCTGTGGTGTGGAATTGTAGAGGGCTGGGTGGGCCCTCTACAGTTTCCCAAATCAGAGAGTTATTTAGAACTCACCACCCACACTTTTTCTTCCTTTCTGAAACAAAAAAACAAGGTAATTTTGTCAAGTCAGTAGCTAGAAAACTTGGTTATGACACCAGATGCACCATTGTGGATCCTAGAGGCTTGAGTGGAGGACTTATGCTTCTTTGGTCTGTGGACGTCCAGATTACTAACTCAATCTGCAAAGACTTCTATATTGCGGTGGAGTTCTCTATCAGTGACTCTAAGAAATCTTGGGGAATTTTTGTTTATATGAGCACCAACTCAGTTGAAAGAGCTGCTTGGCTTCAGTTAGAGTCTGATGTAAATCATTGGGGTGCTAGCTGGTTCATTATTGGTGATTGGAATGATATCATATCCAATTCTGAGAAGAAAGGAGGCAATAAGAGGTCAGATGCCAGCTTGAGGGGTTTTAAAGACTTTATAAACAGAATGGCTATGATGGAAGTCAAGATGGAGGGGTACAAATACACCTGGTGCAACAATAGATCTTCGGAGGGGCTTGTAGAGGCTAAGCTAGACAGAGGCTTTGGCTCTATTGACTGGCTAGCTGACTTCCCTACAGCCTCAATATCTAACATAGCCAGGAGTGGGTCAGATCACTCTCTCCTTCTTTTAAGTTCAGGTGTTCAAAAGGAAAGAGTCAACTCCAGATTTCACTTCGATAAAAGGTGGCTTTCCAGAGAAGGAATTAAGGAAGTGGTTAATGGAGCATGGTCTATCAAAGTCAGAGGTACCCTTTTTATCAACTCAAGGAGAAAATCAAGGCCACCAAACAAGCCCTTCTTCATTGAAGTGCCAAATTCAGAACTCAGCAGTACTCTCTAATTGAGAACCTTAACAGAAAACTTTCTCTAATTCAAGAAAATGGCCTGGAACACAACTGGGAAGAATGGAATTCTACAAGGAAAGAACTGGAAGCTGTACATCTGCAAGAAGAGATTTTTTGGCAACAAAAATCCAAAGCCAAATGGATCAAAGAGGGAGACCGCAATACTAAATTTTTTCATGCCCTCACTCTCCACAGGAGAAGGCAGAATGCTATAACCAGGCTCATTACTAACCAGCAAAGGGTTTGTTCAACTCATAAGGAAATTTCTGATCACATTTCCAGTTTTTATGATTCTCTATTCTCTTTTGAAGGCTCCTGGGGTGGAGAAGCTATTCTACCCCTTATTCCAGTATCCATCACTGCAGCTATGAATCAAAGCCTTCTCAAACCAGTCTCTGAGCAAGAAATGCAGTTGGCTCTTCTCAGTCTCAGTCCAGAGAAATCTCCAGGGGAAGATGGCATGACGGCCCTGTTTTATCAATCCTTCTGGGACATCATTAAACTGGATTTGACTGCTGCCATTTCTAGCTTCTTTGAAGGTAATGGTTCTCTCCTCAAATACTGGAACCATACAATTCTCACCTTAATCCCCAAATGCCCTAACCCAGAAATGCTCTCTCAATATAGACCTATAAGTTTGTGTACTGTGGTCTACAAAATTCTTTCTAAGTTGATTGCTTTAAGACTCCAAAGCTGCCTGGACTCTTGCATCAGCCACTCTCAGGCTGCATTTCTTAAAGGAAGACAAATTTTTGATAATATTTTCATAGGGCAAGAAGCTTTCCACTTCCTTAATAGGCATACATCAGGAAAAAACCACTTCATGGCACTCAAATTAGACCTAATGAAAGCCTTTGACAGAGTTGAATGGCTTTGCATTAAGAAGATCATGCTTCAAATGGGCTTCCAGTTGGAGTTTGTGAACCTGATTATGCTCTGCATTTCTTCCAGCTCTTTTTTCTTCAAAGTGAATGGTAAGTATGTGGCTATGTCATACCTTCCAGGGGCATAAGGCAGGGAGACCCTTTGTCTCCATACTTGTTTCTCATTGTTGCTGAAATGCTTTCTGCCTTAATTATTAATGCTGTTGATTCAGGAGACATTATTGGGCTGAAACTCTCTAGAAATGGCCTTGCTATTTCTCACCTGCTTTTTGCAGACGATTCATTGCTTTTCTGTAGAGCTGGGGATGACCAAGCTGGCCATATTCTACACCTTCTGGAAAGATACAGATTATTTACTGGTCAGAGGGTTAACCTCAACAAGTCAGCCATTTTCTTCAGCAGAAGCACACAACACTGTCTTCAAGGGAAAATCTGTGACACATTACAAGGAATCTCTGTTCATAAATCAACAAGATATCTCGGACTGCCTCTCGGGATTGGAAAGTCTAAAATTCAGTCCTTCCAATTTGTCCTCGATTCTGTCAAATCTAAGCTCAACAGTTGGAAGTCTAAACTCCTTTCTCAAGCAGACAAAGAGGTTCTTCTCAAAGCAGTTATCCAATCTCTCCCTGTCTATTCAATGTCCTGCTTTAGACTTCCTGCTTCTCTATGTGCTGAGATCACTAGACTCTGTTCTCAATTCTGGTGGAAAAAAGGTGATGATCAAGCCAGGGGAGTTCATTGGAAAAAATGGGATTTTCTTACCTTGCCCAAATCTGCAGGAGGTATGGGTTTCATTGACCTGAAAAATTTTAATATTGCCCTAATTTGCAAACAACTCTGGAGAATAACTACCCATCCTAACTTGTTAGTTAGCAGAATTTTGAGAGACAGATATTTTCCAGATTGCTCCATTTTTTCTGCTGTCAAAACTCATAATTGTTCTTGGCTCTGGTCCAACTGGTTGGAAATTGTCCCTATATTTGCTAAAGGATTTGCTGTGGAAATCAGAAATGGGGAATTCACTAGACTTGATGATGTTAACTGGATTCCAACATCCATTCAGCCAAAGCCCTTTCTGTTGGAAATTGCTAGGGGTCATATTCACTGGGTTAAAGAATTACTTAATGATGCTGGTACTGGCTGGAATGAATGGTTGATAAAACAACTTTTCAATGAGTCTGATTGCAGGGCCATCCTCAACATCTGTACTCTCAAACCTGGACACTCTGATAGGCCCTACTGGAAACTCAACAAAAAGGGTTCTTTTTCTGTTTCCAGTACCTACTCCTTCTTGACAAATCTGAAAGCCACTGAGATGGACATTCCAGGTTGCAGCAACCCAAACATTCAGAAATCTCTTTGCAAGTTCTGGAATTTCAGACTACCTGGCAAGCTTAAACAGTTCATATGGCAGTGCATTCATGAAATTCTACCTGTTAAAGCCAATTTGTTGAGAAGAGGGTTGAGTTTGGACCCTATCTGTCAAAGCTGTGGAGATTGCATTGAATCCATTGATCATCTATTCTTCCATTGCCCCAAAGCAGTTCAAGTTTGGGATATTGCACCTGTGAAATGGAATGCCACTGTCTATGCTGGTTCTTTCAAGGGCTGGTGGAGCCACATATGTTCCATCCCAGGCTCTAATCTGGTAGAAGACCGCATACAACTCACAACCTATATGCTTTGGTGGCTATGGAAGTGCCGCAACCTCTGGATATTTCAAGGACTCACCATGCCAGCTCACACCATTATCAAGCTGGCTCACAAAGATTGGTTGGACTTCTCTCAGTCCTAGCTTCAGCTTCATCTCTCCTTTTGTTATGGCTCGGTCTGATCCGGCTGCTTCTTCCTTTTCTTTTGTTCTGGTTTTTTCTTAGCTTTGTTTTTCTGTCTTAGTCTAGTTTTTTGATTTTGTTTTTGTGTGTCCTCTAGGCCTTACGGCAGTGGAGGTTTAGTGTTTGAGGTTCTTTTTACTCGGGTTCTAGGCCGCCTTTGGCGTGTCCTCTCAATTTTTTTTTTTCATTCTATTCAGGTGTGGCCTGTTGTACTGGATTCTGGTTCTTGGTTTCAGAGTTTATAAAATCTCTATCGCTTTGATAAAAAAAAAAGGATATGACGTTTCCAATACTATTAAAATTTATAAAAGTTCATTTTTTTGATGAAAAATGTGTATTTATTGCGTTAGCAAACATATAATGTTAATATACCTATAATCGTAATAGTTTTTATCAACATTTGTTGTTAATAAAATTATTTTGAAGTTGATGATTTTTTTATCAATATAATTTTTTTTTTCAAATTAACGTAATATCTATATTTATATACTGCAATACATGTCAATATAGATTTTTTTTTTTATAAGTATAATTTATATTACTATATTTATTAATCTTTATAAAAACTTCTCATAACATTATTTTACGTACATTGTGCATTTCCACAAGATCGATGATGCACTAATTTGACTGCAAAGTAGATTTTTTCTTTTATTAAATAAATGAGTTGGGAGAAAATTATTAATGAAAAAGAAAAAAAAAGTCAGAAAAGTTTTATTGGATGTAGTATGAAATGTAATAAATATAATGACTAAATTAATATAAAAATAATAAAAAGTCATAAATGTTAGTTATAAATATATGAGTTGACAATTAGTTGATTATATAGAAAATGATTGGTTTTGTTTCAAAACAATAATTGGCAAATTAAGATGGAAAAATGAGACATTTTTAAGTATTCTGATTTTTATTTTTATTTTTTTAATATGAAAAGTTCTCAATATTTAGATATCCAATTAACCCAAAGAATATTTTCTCTGTAGTTTCACCTTTTCAATTAGTTTACATCAGAATTAACATTAATTATTATGGATCAATTGAGAGTACCATATTGTCTCTAATAAGTATAATGCTGACTTACATTTTTTTTTTAAAGTTCAATTTAGTTATTCGGTACAATTTGTATTTGTTTCGGGAATTATTTATTCACTAATTACCTATTTTTCTCTTATTATTGTAGAGTTTGTTGTTTAGAAAAAAAGAATATATGTATGGCGTCTCTTCTTATATTACGTACGTGCATGCAAAATGTTTTGACAACAATTATGGACCATAGGAATTAAATTGAATGTTGAAAAGTTGAAAGCCCAATTAATATATATTAGTGCAACATAGTGTAACACATATTAAGACAATTTTATCAAATGTTTGAAAGTTGAAACCCCCTTTAATATATATATTACCACAATATTATGTGAAAGACTTAATGTTTGGGTATTGTATCACAATAAAGCCTGAATTTTAATTAGTTGAGGGTTTCAATTTAATTTATTATAAATTGAAGTTTTTTTTAGAAGAAACACCCCATAAGGGTAGGAGATTAAGGATGAATCCCAACCTGTATATAGTCAAGATCCTAAATGGGCTGCAAAGTCACAAGTGTACACGTCCAAACATCTAACGAAAACAAACAATGGAGGAAAAAAAAAAGCAACAACCAAAGACAAAAAAATCTAAGCCTGGGCTGACAGATGCCCAGGCGAGCAATTTGCACCACGGATGGGCTAGGACACACAAAAATAAAAATGATTACCCAAATCTGAACGATTGGTATCCCATCTGGTCCATCCATACAAGAGTACGGAGGCATAAAGGAGCGTCGTTCAGTAAAAATGCGCCTCTGGGGGTGGAGGGACCGATGCAAGCGGGAAGTCATAGGGTCGGTTCTCTTCGCGAGAATTGAGCAAAAAGAACGATCAAAAAACAAGTTTTAGATTAGGAGAAAGTGAAAAAAACAATATTGAGGATTATTCTCATGAGTTTAGGGTCGTTCCAATATATAGAGCTCGAAAAACAGAGCAAAAACGCAAAAAAACGAGCAAAAATAAAAACAGGGTCGACCCGGTCGCGAGTCTGACGGGTCGTGGGGTAGCATCTCTGAGCGCTGGGCATGGGGCTGGTTGCGGGTCGCGACCTGGGCTGCACTGCGCCACTTTAATTTTTGGCCTCGTTTGAGCTCAGAATTGAGTTCTGTTTTTTTCTACCGCTAACGAACCCATCTATTCAATTATGCTCTCGAAACCAATTTTTCTTTTTGTAAAAGTTAGTCCGAAGCTCCCGACCTACACACCAAAAACGATAAGACACGAAGAAAACCAGAAAAAACCAATGAAAAACACCTAAAATGACCTAAAATGGAAAAAAAATAAAAGAAAAACGAGCACAAAAAATGTAACAAAAATAGGACAAACAACTCCTCCACACTTAACCCTTTGTTCGTCCAGAACAAAAAGAAAAGAAAAGAAAAGAAAAGAAAAGAAAAGACACAAAACTAAACCCGAGCATGGACAACAATCATTAACAAGATAAACTTCAAAATGTTCAACTTCAACAACAAGCATTGAAATGGCATATACGAACATCACACAACTACATGCTTAATCACTATACTTCGACATGACGTTCTCTTAAGTATGGGAATGTATATGTGTGTCTCACTCAAATTCTTATACAGATAAAGATAGGTGCAGTCAAATTGGTCGATAACAAGTTCAATCAAATGCTTGCTCATTGTCTAACTTCTACTTTAATCAATCAACATCGAAAATAGTGAATCAAAAGGTCTTTCAAGGTTGTAACGTAGGCTCTCTGAACAGGTAGGATAAATATAGGCTAAGTGGCTCAAATTCATTACATAACTCAAACACCTTACCCCAAGAATCATACACTCAGCCGGTTGTTCAAACATACCAGATCTTCCCCCACACTTCTCCTAAAACCACACGTTTCACCCATCTTATTTTGTTTTGTTTTTTTTTTTTTGTGTAAACCTTATTGGACATTTTATAATCCATTCGGCTACATTTTTTTTTAAAACAACTCCAACAAACAATTCCAACAATCATCCCCTCAAATTCTAAACCCGTAACTCCAACAACGTCATCATCATGAGGTTATCAACGAAAATCAAATAAGGCTAA